AAGCATCAATTTCTTTTCTCTCTAATTATGTTATATTTTTTCTCTAATTTTAAAATATTTTGTTATGTAGAGGTAAATCAATTGCAAGAGATATGGAATATGGATTTCTTGATCAACTTTCACCCGATAAAGAAGATTAGAAGATTAAAGTGCGAATATGTAGATTATGGGATGTTTTTAATTTAAAACTGATAGGGACCATCTCACTACTGAAATTGTTCTAACCAATGAGAAGGTAATTTTATAAGTATTATATTTGGTCTTTTATGTATTTAACAATTTTTATTAACAATAATTATTTATTTGCAAAAAAATTTTATTCATGCTATCATTTGAAGTTCCAATACTCTATGATTTAAGAATAAGTTGATTGAAAGGAATGTTTATTAAGTGAAAATTTTTCTGTGGAAAAGAATAAGGACGTCTATTGTGTTGTCTCTTATAACAACTACAAGATTCAATTTCAACTTAATACCGTTGTCAAAGAAGTAATCGAAGAAATTGTAGAGATTCTGAGATTTGTATTTGAACTCATTGATTATGAGAAGCTTCTTAAGAAAGAGAAGAAATGTGTTTGTGGTATTTTTTTAATTTTAATATAATTTTATTAAATGAATACGTGATTTATTTTTGTTTAAAATACTTTTATTAAAAATTTAGATGTTATTAGAGTTTTGATCGATGTTGGAACTCCACAAGAAAGGCAAACGAATGGTAGTAATGTTACTTGCGTGGAATTACATATTGAAGATCAAAGGTAATTCATATTTAAATAATTACATGAAATTTATTTGAATTTCATTTTTCTTTAATTGAATAAAATATAATACTTGATCAATTAATTATAGATAGTTGTTTAATATTGTTTTAATTTTATTGAAGGAAAAACCATTTCAATGTACAACACTTTGGTCTTCCGTGATAAATCAATCTAAGTGAATTAAAAATTTTAATTATTTAAATGTGGAAGTCATTATGTTCACATCTATGATCGTCAAGGACAATAAAAGTAAGTATATAATGAAATTTACAATTTTTTTTTATTTTTTTTAAAAATAAAAAATCTCAAAAATTATGCATCTTGATTTTTTAAAAAACCATTTTTGTATTAGGAGGAGTTTCTTGATTAATTTTTTTCAATTTTTAAGAATTATGAATTCAATTAAATAAAAATTAAAAATAACTGAGGAAGATGAAAAAAATAATAGAAGTATGAGACAAAAATATGTGATTATTAGATTAACAATT